AATTTTCAAAAAATTTTGTTGTTACCTTAACGATGAATTTTTTTTCCAGTTTTTTTTTGTTGCCTGTTTCAGTATGCCATCGATTTGATGAATCTCCATGACCTAATGAGTGTTTTTTTCTTCTACACCTCCGGTTCATTATGAATTTTTGTTCATTATCATCATCATCATCATCAATATTGTATATTCATTTATTCATTCATTATCGAGTGAAATAAACATTTAAAAATGAGGATTTAGTTAATCAACTAATTAACTAATTAATTAACTTTTCTGTATATATGTCTGGTCAATCAATTTTTTTTCAAGTTATTTTGATTTCTGGCCTACAATCTAGGCGCAATATAAAATGACTGAATGTGTTAAATATTCACATTCAGATATTCATCATCGTCATTATGGTCAATGTGAGATAATCTTTTTCTTGCTGTTCATGTTTATCGTTCACCAAAAAAAAAAAAAAAAATCCATTTTCACATTTTTATTTCAGCTATCAATCAATCTATAGGTTTTTTTTTTTTTTTTTTACTGAATCCATTGCTCATTGAAACATTACATTATTATTATTATCAACAAAATGATTTTTCACCTTGAAATTTATTTCAAACCAAAAAAATAAAATAAAAACAATGAAACAAAATCTATTTTCATTTCATTTCATTTCATTTTTGGCCCAATTTTTAATCTAAATCTGGTTCATCAGTTTTTCTTTTCACTATTATCGGTCATCACAGATGATCACCATATATCATAGCATTACTTGAGAAAAAAATGGTCGAAAGCGAAAAAATTTTTATGGCCAACACAAAAAAAAAAAACGAGCCATAAAGAATTGTGGAAAAAAAAATTTCGTTGTTTTAAGATGTTCGGTTCTTTCTGTTCTTTTTGTTGTTGTTGTTGTTTCACATTCAAGATTACCTGGATTAGTCAATTGGATTTGGTTGCTTTCTTGTTTGTTGATTTTTTTTTTCTTAGAAAAAAAGTAGGCTACACGGGATATAAATCAACGATTTTCGTTGTTATTTTCTTCAACATCATCATTGCCGCTATGGAATTATAGTTGCGAATGGCAAAAAAAAAAGAAGAAGAAGAAAAAGAAAAATACCGTTTCATCTCTCTCTTTCCATCACTCTTTTTTTAAAAAACTCGATATCTATAATTTCAAGATGAAAAAAAAACAAAATTACAAGTTCATCGTGTCAAACATGCTTTTTTCCTTTGCTCTTTTTTTATTCAAGGTGTGAAAAGATTTTGTTTTTTTTTCAAGGATTAAGAAAATTTTTTTTTTCTTACCCAACTTGATCATTTTTTTTTCAACAATTTTTGCCGTGTCGTGTCCTGTCTGCATGTGTGTGTGTGTGTGTGTGTGTGTGTGTGTGTGGCAATGAAATTCAATTATATATATCTCGCCATATGATTTTTTTTCATGTTTCTTTGAATCTTTTTATTTAATGGATTAACAAGAAAAAAAAGAAAGAATGAAAATTGTTAGTTATTGCAAATATTGCAAATATTCAAACACATACAAATCGTATCGTGAGTGATTCATTCATTCATTCTAAAAAAAAGTTAATTTTAACCCATTGAATTGTGTGTGTGTGTGTGTGTGTTGATGTGAACTTTGAATGCAGGTAAGATGGAATGGATGGTGGAATTTATTTTTCTTCATTCATTCATATTCTTCATTTGTTGAACACTTGTCGTATTTGTATTTGTCATTTTTTTTTCTCTACAAATTGACGATAAAATTAATAATAAGATTTCCATAAAATAGATGAAGATAAAGATGTTGATTTTTTTTTCTTCTTCGTAAATATTCATTTCCATTAATCATTTTTTTCCTGGTTATGGATAGAAAAAAAATGTTTGATCAGATTATGATGTGAATTTTTTTTCTTTCGTCGTCATCGTCGTCGTCGTCGTTGTTGTTGTTGTTGTTGAATAAATCATCTTCAATCGATTGATTGCAAATTGATAATATTTTTTGATCGAAAAATCAAATAATTTGAATCAAATTATCATATATGGATAAAATGGAGATAAAAAACGCACACATGCACCAACACACACACGTGTTATTTATTCATATCATCATATAATTATGTCTACAATATGAATTTTTTTCCCCGTTTTTAATCGATTGATTTGAATAATCAAATTTTTGTTGTTGTTGTTTTTAGATCCAAACATAAACACATCCGCTATGTTATGATTTTTTTTTCACTTCAAATTAAATAAGATATGCAGGTATCACCCCAAATGGATTAAATATGATCATCATAATCATAATTATATAATTTATTCAAAATCAATTCAACATTAATCATTACAACGTTATGAATATCAAAAAAAAAAAAACGAAACTGGCAGATGTTTGGAAAGTTTGGAAAATTTTTGTTTTCCGTTCATAATTAATGTATATGTATGTAATCGATTTGCACCCATTTGCATTTTTTTTCCCGGTGAAAAAAAAACTTTAAAACATCGTTGTTGTCCATCGAAGATTTTTTTTTTGTCTGTTTAATGTGTCATCAATATATTGGTTATATTTTGGTTATGATTGGATGAAGAAATTGATTGATATGAAATTGAATTTGACATTTACGACAACGATAAGGAATTTTTTTTTGTTCAATTCGATAATGATCGATATCAAGGAAGTAAAAAGTGTGTTTGAAAAGATTTATGAATCATATTCGGTCATCAGTTGTATTTAATGAATGAATGAATGAAAATGTATCAAATTTTATGTGTCAATTGAAAGGAAAGAATGATTTAGACGGGCATTGTAATCATCATCATCATCATGAGGCAGCAAAAAAAATGAACTTTATTAATTTTGGTTATTGTAAGTTTTTTTTTTTGACCACCAAAATAGTTGAATGATGTATGACATCATAATGGATCGCACACACAGACACACACACACACAAACACACAGGTGGTCATCATCAAAATATCGTGATTGTTGACCAAATCTTTTGAATGATATCATCAACAATAATGCCAATCGAATTGTATTTTGTTTTCTCGGTCATTATTACAATTCGCACCCATGAATAAACTAACCTGACATGGTGGACCCAAGGTAAATGACATTTACACACACATTGAATACCCGTTATTATTATTATTACCGTTATTGATGATGATGATAATGCAATTTAAGATGTATCGAATCGGCCATTTGCCTTCTTTTTTTTTGTTAATACATATGACCAATAGACAAATATGGTATAAGTGTCGGTGGTATGATCATATTACAGATGATATCTGCATTCAAACACACACACACACACAGAAAAAGGATGAGTCATTTGTTTCATAATTTTTTTCTCTTCTGAATAATAATAATAACCGAACCTTTCGGTATCCGCTAACTGTTTTGTGAAAAAAAAATTTCATTTTTTAAAAAAAAAAAAACAAATAGTTGAGATGTGTCCCGGTATGGTTAAAAATCAAGGCGTTTTTCAAAAAAAAAAAAAAAAAAAAAAAAAATCAGGCCCCCTTTACAATCACCACCATGCAAACAGCAAAAAGGATAATTGTCGGTTTGTTGTTGTTTATTTGAATTGATGATGATGATGATGATTGTGATGAAAATACACTCACGCAAACAAACACAAAGTTTATGGGCAGTGCTAGAAAAGAATCCAAAAAAAGAAAATATCTTTAAATTTCAATTTCAATGAATTTTGAATAATTGTGAAACAAAAATTTTTTTTTTTTTTCCACTTTATAATGTGCTAATTATAATGCCCCATTCATTTGGAACAATGTATACCATGAAAAAAAAGAAATCGAAAGCCAATTTTTGGCGGTTTATTTTTTATTTTATTTTTTTTTTTTATTTTGATTTTCATTTCGCATTTACATAATGTTGTTTGATCAGATTACGTATTTGTTTTTTGTTTTTAATTTTCATTCATTCATTCATTCATTGATCAATGATTGAAATTTTATCGATGAGAAAAAAAAAAAATTTGCTAATTTTCATACATTGACAAGATCACTTAATCGATCAAAGACAAAAAATAAACCGGACCGTTATTGTTATTGTTGCCTGTGGAGATGAAACTACTAAACATAGACTTTTACTGGTTGTTTTTTTTCTGTTGTTGATTTTGGATTTTATCTCATTAAAATGAAAAAAAAATCGGGATTTCATCATTAAATGACCAGCAGCTAGTTATTTTTCATTCAAAAAAGTTTTTATTTTATGTTTCGAAGAATAAAATTTTTGTTTTTTATTCAAAAATCATAATTATAACCATCATTAAAGAATGAATAAACAAATCAAACAAAAAAAAAATTGGCCAATTTATTGATTATTTTGTGTGTGTGTGTGTGTGAAACAGGAAATGATTTATATGTCCAATGAGAGAGAGAAAAAAAAAACACTAATTACTAATCAATCAAAATTATTTCCAGGAATATTAATTATCAGTTTAAAATATGTATTAATTTCATCATGTGTATGGATTAATTCTACATACAAAGTTATGTAAATCTTCTTGTTTCAGATGAACACGATGAACCACTGTGATGACGACAAAATGTTGTCTTTTTCGATTTCGATAATTGCTGTGCAAATTTTGTGCAATTCGTGTACTAAAAAAAAAAAAAAAATGAGCAGTTAATAAAACAAAAAACTTTGTACAAATTTAAACAAATTTTTCTTCTTTGACATTCGATTTAATCGAAATTGCCAATAAAATGAATAATTCAAATTTCGATGATATAATTTGACAGAGAACACAAGAAGAATTTTATTCCGCTGTAACTATACGCAAATTGACATTTTAAAAAACTATTCCATTTTTCTTAATTCTGAGAGTTTTGATAAAAATCAAAGTTGTGCAAAGTTGTTTTCCAGCCCAAAAACCATCAAAAAATTGGCCAAGATAGCTGTTCCGTTTCCTGAACAGCCGTGTACATCCCAAATAACGCCGTATACGATCGGCTGTTTTGCAGTAGATCATTCATAAATGCAATGATATTTAGAATGTACACGGCTGTTCGGGAAACGGAACAGCTATCTTGGCCAACAATTTTTTGTTTTCAAACATTTTTAGTTTTAAAAACAACTTTGCACAACTTTGATTTTTATCAAAACTTCAGAATTAAGAAAAATGGAATAGTTTTTAAAAATGTCAATTTGCGTATACCTCTTCGCTGTTTAGAGTGACAATTTTTGCCCCTTTGACCTCTAGAGGCGGAGTTATCAACCATATGATTAATGATTCTATGAACCGTGTGGTGCGACGTATCAAATTGTTCCGATAGAAATAAATTTTCCGAAGTGTTGGCTGTCAAACCGATTTGAAGACCGCATTTAGTTCAATAATATCGTGTATTAATCGATGTCGGAAGCGGAAGTTCAATTAGAAACCTGCTCCTCTAGTGAATGCATCAGCAGGATTGACCCTCGTATGTGTCGAAGATTCAATCAAATTTTATATGGCAACATAGATACGGCCGATTCATCAAGAGTAGAAAATATCATAAAAGAGAGAGAGAGCAATAAGTAAAATAGACATGGAGGGAAAAAAAACTGTCGGTAAGTGACTGCAAACAACAACAACAAAAAAGTATATTATTGGCATGCCGAATATCCTCGATATCCACATCCAATGCCGGTTCCACCGATAACGATTGATCATAGCTCAACAATACATTCGTTCGATTGGTCACCCCAAAGACTACCCAGCCCATTGTCGTCCGTTTAGCAATAACGTCATGTATCACTCGTCGTTCATCTGGAAGCTGAATCTTGTTGATATTGTCAAGTCCAATTAACATGTCAACCGGACGTTGTTCGTCATGGAAATCAATACCTTGTTGTAGTAGCTGCTTTTGCACGTCAATAGGAATACAATGAAACTGCAATTGGTCCAATTTATCGTTCAGTCGAAACCCGAGATTCTCGTGTTGCCCACCCCACGTTGGCATCTCTATATGTACCATTTGATGACCAGTGGCAGTTGGTTTAGCGTTGCTTAAGGTGTCCATGAAAATAGGTTCAGCTCTGGATGCAACGAGATTCCATTCCTGTGCCACTTTGGATGAGATGAACGAGGTCCCGGCTCCATCGTCAAACACAACTCGTATTTTTCGTCCATTAATTGTTGTGGTCAATGTTTTATGAAGACTTCTGCCAGCTGGTATCAGTAACGTCGGTTGACTTGAGCTTTCTGAAGCTTCATTATTAGCATTCGATGATGTTGACATGGTTGGCGTTAACACATTTGGTTGATTATGTCGAAAACATAACTGTGATGCATGTCTTCGCTGGCAGTGATTGCACTTCAGTGTCTTTGGACACTCACGGCCATTATGTCCACTATCACCGCAACCAAAGCATAGTCGATTTGTAAACAAGAATTGTCGCCGAGCATCTCCTGATAGTTTACATTCGTCCGTTTTATGATCGCCATCTTGAAAGAAACACTTGTTGTTGGTCGTCATCATCACATTGTTGATCGGTCGTCTGATCATTGATCGAGGCTTATCAGCTGTCATCCATGGATTTTCGTCGAGCCGGCCACTTATGGCTGCTTTTCTCGCCGCACCGCGTTCGAGAAATTCTTCTAGCTGTGCTAGTTTTATTTTATGGTCACCATCGATTTGTTGTTGATATACATCATCTACCTTGTACAATATATACGTCGTCATATTGTAATCTTCATATAGCAGATTGGATGCAGCTAATGTATCACGAATTATTACCACTGTTTCCAGCCAGGTCGTCCAATCTTTGACGGTAGCTCTTTGTGACAAATGTGGTAGCAATTTGATTTTGTTCTTTAGTGCTGGAATGATTTGATGTTCCGATGCGTAGAAATCATCAAGCTTCTTCAATGCATCTTCAATGCCTGCTTCGTTACGAATTACTCTGTTCAATAAATACCGGTGATGATTAGGCAACAGATCTTGGATTTCGGTTAACTTGTTTAATCGTCCTTGAATTTGTGGATTTTTGATGATATAATGTAGTACGTCATGTCGAAATTTATAATAGTCGATGGGATCACCATTAAATTTTGCTAATTTTTTCTTTTCGATCTTGACTCGGAACTCTTCGGCGGTGGTATAGCTGTTGATACTGTCTTGCGATCCATTGGATGATACTGATCGCTGTTCGATTTTTTCCTTCCATTCGTATAGTTTCTCAAGCCAGTTGTTGTGATGGACATCCGAGAATGGAAATTTTCTTTCTGTTTGCTTGATGAGTTCACATGCTTCTTCCAGATCTTTCCATTTTGGTGAAAACGACATTTCTTCTTCCATGGTCAAGACGGCGGATTGCAACTTTTCTACTGCTTTAGCGTAGTTGAACATTTGATCTACTTTCGATTGATAGCTAAACAGCTGAGCTAAGGCGGCTTTATCCGGTGGTTCTTCATTGATTAGTTCAGCTGCTAGTTCGTTGAATTCAATGTACAATACCTCGACACCGCACAAATCTATTGGTTTTCGAAGTTTGAATACTTTTAATAACCACATGTCGATCTTCATTGTCATTGTGTCTACACGAGAATTGGTATTCATGTACTCGTCATCCACGATAGTGTCGTCGTTGCTGGTGTTGCCATTACTGTGATCAGTTTTGTTTGACGCGGTCTCTGTTGTCTTTTTTTGTTGTCCTTTGGCCATTGGTTGTCTTAGCTTCGAGCTGACGTATGTTGGTGCTGATAACGAGATGTAACAGAAAAACGAAACGAACTCAGAACAGGACTGTTTGTTTAAAAGAAAACTTTATTGATGGATTAGAAAGAACAAATTTGTAATAGATTAAAGTCAGTAATTTGTGATATGAGTTGAAGAATAATTTATTGAAGGTTGATTGTTGACCAAAAAAATGAATCCAGAGGACGATTTTGGAAACTTGGTTATTGATTCGATAGTATACGTGCGACGTGAGAAATGACCAGACCACTTTAAATCAATGGTGAATCATGAAGACCAGAACATAGAAACATAAAACTCAAGAAAACACAATACACAGACACGAGCATAATACTCACAAAACGATTCTAAAGCTGCACCATCGTTTTCTTTTGCGCTTTTGAAAATAGCCGATGATGACAGAGCTCTGTCTTTCTTGATGGACCCCTTCAAATAATCCGTTACACAAAAAACAAATTTGAAATTTTTCTTCTTTGACATTCGATTTAATCGGAGCCAATAAAATTAATAATTCAAATTTCTGATGATATAATTTGACAGAATACACAAGAAGAATATTTATTCCGCTGTAACTAGAGCAAAAAGAGAGAGAGAGAGAGCAATTAAAAATATTGGAGGAAAAAAGAATGATGAACAACAACAAAAAAGTATATTATTGGCATACCGAATATCCAATACTCAATCATTCTATTATTGGTCAACAAACAAACACATAACATGGATTGTTTCCGTTTAATAATCAAGAATAGTGTTGCCGTCATTCTATTGAAAATAGCAAATTTGATTTGGTCTAAAACAGAATCAAGTATATCAGAAATTATCGATTCTGGATATCCATATCTTCAATATTTATTCTTACGATTCAAATATTCATGGGAAGAATATGAACAGCAACGAATTCCGAAAACATTTCGAAGATTTTATGCAGCCATTCTGATATCATTGAATGCTTGGTTTAATATCATTTTTCTTACAATTTATAGTAATACGGAAAGTTCCATTTGGATAAATTTAAAAGATATAGAAAAAATAATTGATTGTGAACGTTTCGATTTATTGGTTATAGCATTCGTCATTTTATTCGGCATTGGTGAATATACTTGGTTCTGTTATTTCAGACAAGCAATTACATATAAAATGTTCACACATAAAATAATATATAAAAATCTTCATTTTGATGATACACGATTGGCAACAAATTATCGTCGCTATATATTTATTCATCATTTATTCATAAAAATTTCTGCACATTTATGTGGTGCTTTCATCATAACTGGTATAATTGTTGCATATGTTATCGATACTTATATCGTAATTCAAGCATATATTAATAATCAGATAACAATTGGAAAATTAACATTGTGTTTTTTCATTTTTCCATCACTTGCCATACAATTTATTTCAATTATTACAATGTTATTAGCTGGTACATTTGCATCAAGTTTTTTTGTTGAATTCTTAAAAATACGAATGAAACAATTCTATATATTCTTGAAACATAATGAATCATCTAAAAATATTCCCAAGTTGAAATTTAACTGGAATTGTATACATAGAGAATATGTTGAACTTTATGATGAAACAGCTTTGTTTGATAAATCAATAAGTTTTGCATTATTGAACATGGAAACAGCATCAAAAATATTATCCATAACAGCATGCGTATTCTATAGCCGTCAAACTAAGATGAGCCCTACAAACACAATGATCATGTTGGGAATATCGTTAGCGTTTGTTTATACAGCCATATTATATTCAAGATTGGTGTTTGCACCTAAATACAATCATCATTATTGTCGATTATTATTGAATCGGATGGCAAGAAAATCGATTGTAAAGTATCATAATCGCCATAAAAATTTGATTATAAAATCAAATCTATTCATACAAACAATGTCCGATAATCATTTTGGTTTTCATTGTGGTCAAATATTTTTCATAACCAAATTTCAAGTTGTCGAATTGTTCATGATGAATTTACCATTGATTATATTGTTTTATAAAAAAATTTGTATGGCAAAATAAATGTTGTTTTCATTCGAAATGATTGTTTATTACAACATTTGATTGTGAAGAAAAAAAAATACTGAATGATTACAAGATAAACACTTATATTCTACCTCACTAAAACACATTAACCCATTGACGCTTTTGTAATCAAATACAAAAATCGGATTTTTTTCTTGTAACAGACTTTATGACGAGCCATCAGCAATGATGACTGTTAATCATTGGCGCGAAAAACGAACATATAAAAGATCAAGAGACGAGTCGAAAGTTGTTGTCATTTTTTCTATAGTGAGTATAAGTGTCTCCAGTTTCATGTTCTTCTTGTGCTCGTGTTTTTCTTGTTTTCTTGTGTTATGAGTTTCTCATGTATGTTTTTTGTTTCTCCAATATTTTTCGAGAAGAGATAATCAATCTGTACCTGCTGGATCCAAAGGAAAAACGCTGTTCATGTCATCATCATCGCTAATTCAGTAAATCGGATTCATCACGAAACAATATTGTCGAATAATTTATTTCTTACATCATTATTTCTATCCTTTTAACATACCATTATATTCAACACAATAAACGAATGATTTCTTTTAAAAACAACCAGTAGCGTGTCTGTTTATTTATGTTACATTTCTGAATAAAAAAATAAATAAATTTTTTTTTTCAATATTATAATGGTCATAAGCCAGTGGCGACACCACCGCCATCAATATACGCCCCTTTTGTGTATCAAAAAAAAAAAAAAAAAAAAAATCAATATAACAAGCGTACAATCGTACTGACTTTTTAGTAATGTTGTAGTAATTTTTCTATCGCCTAATTGAATTAAAATTTTAATGTAATTTTTTTTTTGTTCATACAGTTTGTTTTCACCTAATTTGAGAATATCGCTGAATTTTTTTTAACTTTTTGAATAGGTAAAAATACATTATTGTCACAATCAATAAAATGTGTTATTGTTTTACTTTTAATTTTAGGAAAATGTGCCAAAAAATTTATAAAATTGTTGATGATTTTTGCGTAGAAAAAAACCTTGAAATCTTCAGACTTTGAAATCGATAAATTACTTGTTTTTTGTCAACAACAACAACAACAACAGCAACAATATAATCATGAATTTTTTTGGCGAAAAAATATCATTCAAAATAATTGTGATATTACTACAAAGCTTGAATATTTTGTCAAGACGACGAAAAAAATTTTTACTGATCAATTGAATTTGTAAAAATTCAAACAAATTTCTTGAACGAAAAATGAAAATTTCAGTAAATGACTCAAATTTGTAGAATATTTCATAGAAAATTTATGAAATTTGAAATATTTAAACTCAACCATTTTATCAACAGAACTCAAATCGTGAACAAACCATACTTTTGTCTCGTCACTGATCATGGCTGGTTTACGTATGTTAATCGAAAATATTGTTGTCTTTGTTATATTGAAAATAGCTCATTTGATTTGGTCGAATCCCGAAACAAAAATATCAGAGATTATCTATTATGGATTTCGTTATTTTCAATATTTCATTCTGCGAATCAACTATACATGGGAAGAATATCAACTACATCGAATACCGAGAACATATCGAAGACTTAGACAAGCAATCTTAATGTCTTTCAATGCTTGGTTGGTTATCATTTTTTTGGTAATTTATATTTATTCTGAAGACAGCTCAATATGGATAAGCGTAAAATATTTGGAAAAAATTGTCGATTGTCAACGATTAGATCTATTGGCCACAGCAATCATTATTTTACTTTGTATTGGTGAATTGTCTTGGTTTTATTTTTTTATTCAGGTAATCAACTATAAATCACCAATACAAAGTATGGCATATAAAACTTTACTTTTTGACGAGAAACGATTAGCAGCGAATTATCATCGTCATCTGATTATCTATCATTTATTCATAAAAATTGCAGCTTATATATTTGCTGCATGTATCGGTATCGGTGTTATTATCGTATGTGTTATGGGAATTTATTTTCTTACAAAAGCCTATTTCTATAACCAGATAACATCAGTACAGCTTTTATTTTGCTTGATGATATTTTTTCCAATTTGTTTTGAAGTTTGTAGTCTATTTGTTCTATTATTGGTTGGAGCAATAGCAGCTGGTTTTATTCTTGAATTTCTTAAAATACGAATGAAACAATTGTATATATTCTTGAAGCACGATGAATCATCAAAAAATATTCCAAAAATGAAATTTTTTTGGAATTGCATACAAAAAGAATATGTTGAACTTTATTCGGAAGTAGCATTGTTGGATAAAACGATAAGCTTTGCAATGTACAGTTTAGAAACAGGGTCGAAAATATTATCCATAACATCATGTATATTCTATAGCCGTCACGTTTGACATTTCCACCTAAATATAATCATCATTATTGTCGATTAATATTAAATCGAATGGCAAGACAAGCGATTATAAAGCATCCTGAACATCAAAAAAAAACGATTATAAAATCAAATCTATTCATACAAACAATGTCCAATAATTGTTTCGGTTTTCATTGTGGTCAAATATTTTTCATAACGAAATTTCAAGTTGTCGAATTGTTCATGATGAATTTACCATTGATTACATTGTTTTATAAAAAAATTTGTATGGCAAAATAAATGAATGTTGTAAAAAAAAATATTCATGGTAGATTAATTAATTATCTTGTAACTCAAAAACAATACTTTCATTACATTAAAAATTTGATCAACAAATCAGCTATGAATTCTATAAAAATTTTCGTAATAATTACATAAGATCCATTCGAAAAACAAAAGAGATAATTTCAGAACATTCCTTGAAGATGAAAATTCTATAAATCATTTCGTGAATACATATATAATATAAAATTTTAAAATATTGATATCTAAATCTAACAACAAAATTCAAATGATCGACCATGTTTCTGCATGTGAAAAAACAACAAAAATTGAATCAAATGCTAAATCAAATTTTTCCAAATGATGAAGAATCCAATGATAAACAAACAGTCAAAATTACATTAGACATTTTCAACATTCACTAATTTAGTTGACCTAAAGTTTTAATAACTATTGATGAATTGAAATCAATCATCAACAAATTGAATTATAAAAAAAGTCCGTAGATTTTAGAAAATTATTCTGATATTTTTGAATGCTTGGTTGAATATCATTTTTCTCTCACTAATTGGTATGTCATAATAAATGTTGCTTTCATTTTAAAATACATCATGTTAATTTTATTTGAACGGATGAAAGTTTCATAAGTTTTCGAATAAATAGATTCCAATAAATTCACAATAACATTGTTAATATTAATTGGTTTTGTGTATTTCAAGAGAAAAATTTATTTGTTTGAATACAAATAAATGATTCATTTGAATAAAAAAATTTTTTGGCCAAAAATACCATTCCAAATGAACATACAAAACATTCTTATGATTTATGATATTACTTTATGATAAAATATTTTGTCAAGACGACGGAAAATATTTTTACCGATCAATCAATAGAGCTTTCTGAAAATTCGAAACTTTTTGTTCAAATTCAAACAAATTCCTTGAAATTCTAATAAATGATTCCAATTTGTAGAATATTTCCTAAAAAAAATTTATGAAACTTGAAATATTTAAACACAATCATTTTGTTCTGTCGATCAACACAACTCAAATCGTGAACAAACCATACTTTTGTCTCGTCACTGATCATGGCTGGTTTACGTATGTTAATCGAAAATATTGTTGTCTTTGTTATATTTAAAATAGCTCATTTGATTTGGTCGAATCCTGAAACAACAATATCAGAGATTATCTATTATGGATTTCGTTATTTTCAATATTTCATTTTGCGAATCAACTATACATGGGAAGAATATCAACGACATCGGATACCGAGAACATATCGAAGACGTAGACAAGCAATATTAATGTTTTTCAATGCTTGGTTGGTCATCATTTTTTTGATAATTTATATTTGTTCTGGAGACAGTTCAATATGGATAAGCGTAAAATATTTGGAAAAAATTGTCGATTGTCAACGATTAGATCTATTGGTCATAGCAATCATTGTTTTAATTTGTATTGGTGAATGGACTTGGTTCAATTTTTTTATTCAGATAATCAACTATAAATCACCAATACAAAGTATAGCATATAAAACTTTACTTTTTGACGACAAACGATTAGCAACAAATTATCGTCGTTATTTGATTATCTATCATTTATTCATAAAAATTGCAGCTTATATATTTGCTTCATGTATCGGTATCGGTGTTATTATCACATATGTTATGGAAATTTTTTTTGTTACAAAAGCTTATTTCGACAACCAGATAACATCAGTACAGCTTTTATTTAGCATGATAGCATTTTTTCCGATTTGTTTTCAAGTTTGTAGTCTAATTTGTCTATTATTGGTTGGCACAATAGTAGCTGGTTTTATTCTTGAATTTCTTAAAATACGAATGAAACAATTCTATGTATTCTTGAAGCAAGATGAATCATCAAAAAATATTCCAAAAATGAAATATTTCTGGAATTGGATACAAAAAGAATATGTTGAACTTTATTCAGAAGTAGCATTGTTGGACAAAACGGTAAGCTTTGCAATGTACAGTTTGGAATCAGCATCGAAAATATTATCCATAACAACATGTGTATTCTATAGTCGTCAAATGGAGATGACCCTGTCAAATACATTGGCCATGTTGGGAATGACATTAGCATACATCTATACAGCTGTAATATTTTCACGTTTGACATTTTCACCTAAATTAAATCATCAATGTTGTCGATTAATTTTAAATCAAATGGCAAGAAGAGCAATTATAAAGCATCCTGATCGTAAAATAAAAACGATTATAAAATCCAATCTATTCATACAAACAATGTCCGATAATCATTTTGGTTTTCATTGTGGTCAAATATTTTTCATAACCAAATTTCAAGTTGTCGAATTGTTCATGATGAATTTACCATTGATTACGTTGTTTTATAAAAAAATCTGTATGGCAAAATAATAATAATGTTGCATTGGTATTCATGGTACATTTGTAATTATCTGACACAACTCAAAAAACTAAACTTAATTCATTACATTAAAATTAATGATCAACAAATGATAAATGAATTCATAAAATTTTCATAAAAATTACATAAGATCTTGTTCGAAAACAAAAAAATAATAATAAATCATTGTTATTATCATGTTATTTTCGTTATAAATCATTCCTCGTGTATTCATATTATAATATAAAAATAAAATTGCAATATCTAAATTTACTAAGAAAAAAAAAATGCTGGAATTGGGCAACCATGTTTCTGCAATTTTAAAAAGGTCAAAATTGATCAAATTTAAATAAATTTGACCAAGATCCATTGAAGAGTTAATTGATAAAATAAACAATAAAATAACATTGTATACAATTTCAACATTTTTTAATTGTAGTTGACCTAAAGTTTTAATAACTATTGATGAATTGAAATTAAAATCACAAAACAGGAGAAATTGAATTAGAAAAAAGTCCGTAGAGTATTTTTTTTTAGAAATTATTGTGATATTTTTGAATGCTCGAACATTTGAACAAAATATTTTAATCTCATTAATGTTTTCATGTTTCAAAATGTTGCAGGCATTTTGCAAAAATACAGAATGTTAATTAAAATTTGAATAAATGACAAGTTTCATAGACTTTTAGATGATTAAATAGATTCCAATAAATTATCAATAACATTGAATGATTACTATTGGTTTTCTTCTATTTCATGGAAAACATTTATTTCAAGATATATCATCACAAATAAAAAAAATTCATTTCAATCAAAAAAATTTTTGGAAAATCGAAACTTTTTATTTAAATTCAAACAAATATTTTTGAAATAAATACAAAAATTTCTCTGAAAAATTCTTATTATTTATGATATTACTACAGAGCGTTAATATTGTCAAGACGACGAAAAAAAAATTTTACCGATCAATCAATATTGCTTTCTGAAAATTCAAAACTTTGTTTCGAATTCCAACAAATTTCTCAAACTAAGAATGAAAATTTTTATAAATGATTCAAATTTGCAGAATATTTCATAGAAAAATTTATGAAACTTGAAATCAACCATTTTATTCTGTCGATCAACACAACTCAAATCGTGAACAAACCATACTTTTCCTCGTCAGTGATCATGGCTGGTTTACGTATGTTAATCGAAAATATTGTAGTCTTTGTTATATTTAAAATAGCTCATTTGATTTGGTCGAATCCTGAAACAACAATATCAGAGATTATCGATTCTGGATTTCGTAATTTTCAATATTTCCTTCTGCGAATCCAATATACGTGGGAAGAATATCAACAACACCGGATATCGAGAACATATCGAAGACTTATGAAAGCAATCTTAATGTCTTTCAATGCTTGGTTGGTTATCATTTTTTTGGTAATGTGCATTTGTTCTGAAGACAGCTCAATATGGATAAGCATAAAATATTTGGAAAAAATTGTCGATTGTCAACGATTAGATCTATTGATCATAGCAATCATTATTTTATTTTGTATTGGTGAATGGTATTGGTTCTATTTGTTTATTCAGATAATCACCTATAAATCACCAATACAAAGTATAGCATATAAAACTTTAATTTTTGACGAGAAACGATTAGCAACAAATTATCATCGTCATCTGATTATCTATCATTTATTCATAAAATAACTGCATCTTATATTTTTGTGGCTTGTATCGGTATCGTTGTTATTATGACATATGTTATGGAACTTTATTTCCTTACAAAAACCTATTTCGACAACCAGATAACATCAGTACAGCTTTTATTTAGCATGATAGCATTTTTTCCAATTTGTTTTCAAGTTTGTAGTCTAATTTGTCTATTATTGGTTGGAACATTAGTAGTTGGTTTTATTCTTGAATTACTTAAAATACGAATGAAGCAATTGTATATATTTTTGAAGCAAGATAAATCATCAAAAAATATTCCAAAAATGAAATTTTTCTGGAATTGCATACAAAAAGAATATGTTGAACTTTATTCAGAAGTAGCATTGTTGGATAAAACGGTAAGCTTTGCAATGTACAGTTTGGAAACAGCGTCGAAAATATTATCCATAACATCATGTGTATTCTATAGTCGTCAAATGGAGATGAACCCGTCAAATACATTGGCCATGTTGACATTGATGTCAGCATTTGTTTTTACAACCATATTTTATTCAGGATTGATGTTTCCACCTAAATCAAATCATCAATGTTGTCAATTAATATTAAATCGAATGGCAAGACAAGCGATTATAAAGCATCCTGATCATCGAAAAAAAACGATTATAAAATCAAATCTATTCATACAAACAATGTCCAATAATCATTTTGGTTTTCATTGTGGTCAAATATTTTTCATAACCAAATTTCAAGTTGTCGAATTGTTCATGATGAACCTACCGTTGATTACATTGTTTTATAAAAAAATTTGTATGGCAAAATAATGTTGTTTTTATTCATGATTCTTAAATAAAGATGTGTTCATTTTATTCAAAGTGTTGAAAGTTAAAAAAAATTTATAAGTAAAAAAAAAATCCAAAATGGGAGGAGTTTTTAATATAGAGAAAATAAGTAGGAAAATTTTCGAATTTTTTCTTTTGATTGTAGGTGATATTTTAGATGGTGCTAGAATATTCTGGTTCTCGAACAATATACAAAATTTAATAATATGATATGATTAATGTTTACATTTTCAACAGTATCAGGTTTGTTGCAATAAAGAAGAAAAAAAAATTTTTGAAATATAATAAATGATTATTGTGAAAGAATTTCATTGGAAAAATATAATTGCAAATTTGTTTATCAAGTTAATGAATGATCACTATTGGTTTTTTCTTCTGAACATGAAAAAAATTTTGATAATTTAAGATATATCATCAAGAAATCAAAAAAATTCTTTGATCAATCGATATTGATTATTGAAAATCGAAACTTTATATTTCAAACAAATTTTTTTGAAATAAATACAAAAATTTCACTGAAAAATTCTTATAATTTATGTTGTTACCACAGAACGTTAATATTGTCAAGACGACAAAAAAAAAATTTTTACCAATATTAATATCAATATATTGCTTTCTGAAAATTCGATACTTTTTTAGAATTCCAACGAATTTTTCAAACTAAAAATGAAAATTTTTATAAATGATTCAAATCTGCAGAATATTTCATAGAAAAATTAATGAAACTTTAAATATTTAGACTCAACCATTTGATTCTATCGATCAACACAACTGAAATCGTGAGCAAACCATACTTTTCCTCGTCAGTGATCATGGCTGGTTTACGTATGTTAATCGAAAATATTGTTGTCTCTGTTAAATTGAAAATGGCCCATTTAATTTGGTCGAATTCCGAAACAACAATATCAGAGATTATCGATTCTGGATTTCGTAATTTTCAATATTTCATTCTGCGAATCCAATATACGTGGGAAGAATATCAACAACGCCGGATAACGAGAACATATCGAAGACTTAGAGAAGCAATCTTAATGTCTTTCAATGCTTGGTTGGTTATCATTTTTTTGGTAATTTATATTTATTCTGAAGACAGCTCAATATGGATAAGCGTAAAATATTTGGAAAAAATTGTCGATTGTCAACGATTAGATCTATTGGCCATATCAGCCATTTTTTTATTCTGTATTAATGAATGGCTTTGGTTCTATTTGTTTATTCAAATAATCACATACAAATCACCGTTACAAAGTATAGCATATAAAAATTTAATGTTTGACGAGAAACAATTAACAACAAATTATCGTCGTTATCTGATAATCTTTCATTCATTCATAAAAATAACATCTTTAATATGTAAGACATGTGTCGTTATCATTGGTACTATCATATATGTTTTGGAAATTTATTTTCTTACAAAAGCATATTTTGACAACCAGATAACATTGGTACAGCTTTTATTTAGCATGACAATATTTTTTCTAATTTGTTTACAAGTTGACATCATAAGTTTTATATTATTGGTTGGAACATTAGTAGTTGGTTTTATTCTTGAATTACTTAAATTGTTTTATAAAAAAATTTGTATGGCAAAATAAATAAATAAATGTTGTTTTTATTCAAGAATTCTTGTGAAAAAAAAAACGATTCAATTCAAAAAAAATTGTTATTTTCATTCAAAATGATTGATTATTACAACATTTAATTGCGAAGAAAAAAAATAATGAATGAAATTGAATGGCAGCAAAACACCTGAAAACATCGGTAAACTGGAATTCTACTATACAAACGATATACGATACTGAGATTGTTCAATTTTTCATTAAAGAAGATTAATTAATGATATAACCAAACCCAAAAACAATACTTTCTACCACATTTTTTTGTTACAGAATTTTCACGAATTATGATGAAAACAATTAAAAATTGTCATGGAATTTTCAGGTAAATGTTTGTGTAAAAAAAAATATCAATAACCATTGTTTAACAAAGAAAAAAATGTGGAAAATTAAAAAATACTTTGAATTTGCTATGAAGAATAATCGATATATACAAAAAAATCGAAAAAAACCACATGATATATTCTTGAATTTGTTATTGTTCTAATTTGAATCCGAAATAAAACCGTGTAATAATCTTGTAACGAAAAACGTAAACATTCATTTCGATTCTACAAAAAATACATTATTGGATAATACGTTTGGTAGGTCGAGTTCGAATCATCCTATATATATACCGAAAAAACTTGAAACGATATACGTGGGAACAGAGAGCAGTAAGTGATAGCTCATTACAGATCATTTTTTTTGTTCATTCAAATATCCATCGATTATTACAACATTTAATTGCGAGCAAAAATATTGAAATGAATCACAACGATATACCATGATTGGGGAATTTTTGTTAAAAACTTGAAAACAATTCAAATTGTCATGGTTTTCTTAGGTAAATGTTTAAATATCAATAATCATTGTTTCGAGAATGTTAAAATGAAAAATTAAAAATAGATTTGAATTAAAGCATAAAGGGCAATTGATATTCATTCAATATATGAATTTTTCAATATGTTCATTTAAATATCCAATATCACGAAGTGGTAGATTCCATATGATATCCAATATTGGTGATTGAAAAACAAAACAAAACAAAATAAAAAAAAAATGTTGTCAACAATTCAATCAAAATTATCATCAATGACTGAACGTAACATTAATTTTAGCGATATAATGAATCGTGGTTTTAAATTGATACAAATTTTCAGTGCTCGATTACGATATTCAATAGATGATTATGAACAGAGACAAATACCGAGAACATTTCGTACATTAAGATTGGCCATTTGGACCACAATGAATGCATGGGCAACACTTTTAACTTTTTATTTTGTCATTTTTTTCAATAATAACAATCATTTATTAATCAACCTGAACATATTGGAATTGATTTCCAATACAAAAAGATTGGATTTATTTTTCATGGCAATATTGATCATATTTACAATCATGGAAATTATGTGGTTGGAATTATTTCAACGGATTTTATTCTATCAATCACCAATGAATGATTTTCTTATTGTTTGTTTTCAATATAACGAGAAAAAATTGCGACAAAAATATCGAAAATTTCTAATCGATTTTCATATCATATCGAATTTGGTTGGAATTTGTTTATATTCAATATCAACAGTAATCATTTTACTCATGTCATTGATATATGCAATTTATATGATTGAAGTTTATCTAAATCATACGATCAGTATGATTCAAATGATTGTCACAACGATTATATTCATTCCAGTATTTGTGCATATTATTTTCATACTGGGACAAATATTTTTGGCTATAAATTTTTTGGTTTTTCTCATTGAATTTCTTAAAAAACGTTTCGAACAATTAGCCAACATTTCGAATACAATATATGTATCATTCAACAAAAAAACAGAATATGGAATCATATTATTCAATCGATTCCGTTATAATTATATTCAATTGTTTAAAGAAACAAAACGATTCAATGGAACAATTAGTTTTTTATTATTGTATATGGAAACTGGTTCAAAAGCATGGTCAATAATATTCTGTATATTTTATAGTCAACAAATTCAAATGAATCTTATTGCATTCATCAGTGGATTCATATTGATATCATTGTATTTCTTTATGATTGGTCTTTATTCACGTTTAGCTCAGATGCCATTGAATAATCAACTTTGTCGTCGACGGTTAGCATTCTGGATGGCTGAACAATCAAGATATTGGAATAAATTTAAACACCGAAATTATCATCAACAGAAATGTATTCGTATATTGATGATAAAATTGAATTTTTTCATCCAAATAATGGCACATAATCGTTTTGGTTTCACTTGTGGCCGTTTGTTTTTCATTACAAAATTCAAATATATTGAATTGTTTCTGATGAATGTTCCAATAATTATGTTATTTTATAGAAAAATCTGTATGATGGATAATTGAAAAACAATATGGTGGCAAACAATGGATCAATTTGAATTGTCTAGTCACATAAATCAAAAACAATTAAACTATTCTCGTAGGATAATAATGATGATGATGATGATGGCCAACCATCCATTCGATTCATTCATTCATTCATCTATTCATACAGAGTTCAAGGTACCCATTTTTCATTCAACCCTTCATACATCTAATATATTATTACCTGTTGTTTATTGAACCAGTTTTCTACAAGAGAACATACACACACACACATACATAAAGGCTAATAATCTTTAAACATTTCAGCATTCTGAATAATTGGCATTTGATGATTCATAAAATAAATTCTAACCATAATGATCATTATTTCATCTTATATGAGCACGTTCATTTGATTCACTTGATTCATTCATTTCCTGAAATCATTAATGTTATTATTAATGACATTATTATCAATATATAAATCTTATGATGAATAAATCCATTTATAAACATTTAAGACAATGTGGTTCAACCACCACCATCGAAATTCACCTATATATTGAAGGTCGTCGACCAAATTACACATTAGTGAATGAAATTTGCGAAAAAAAAATCATACTGGTTTTGATTTTTTTCTCAATCAAACCAAAGAAAAAAAATGAATAAAACAAGAAATCCGATAAACATTTGCACATATACTTAAAATGGCATCCAATCGATATTTTGCACCCGTTTCGTTATCGTTATTATCCATCAAAGATTTTGACGATTTTGCGATGATGATGAAATGGTTAATATTCATTTCATGTGTGTGTGTAAAACTAATAACAATTTGGAATCCAAAAAATGTTATACATTGTAACTGAATTTTTTTTTTTTTTTTTTTTTTGTAGCCCAAGCGATAAATATCATCATTTGTATATATAATCGAATTATCATCAAACAAACAAAAAAAAATTAATCCTTTTTTTCAAGAGAGAGAGAAAAAATCTAGTTATTTGAATCGGATTTGGTTGATGAATTTTCTTCTCATTTTTTCGTATTTCTTTTCAATTGTATTGATTTAATAACAGGATTTAACATCCAAATGAT